ACCTGTCTGAATCAACTGAAATCCGCCAACAAGATGTCAGAGAGGCAGGCACCGGAAATTAAATCAGGAATACAAGACATTCTTGATTACCATCCAGGGAAAACTGCGGCAGATTACCCACACCATCATATTGGCCGCAGGGTTTAAAGTGTGGGGAAAAAAATGGCGATTTTCACCCCACGTGTTAGTGATGGTGTTACTAATTTTACCGTTAGTGTTAAAGGGTTAAGAGTGTGTTCTCCAGGTTCTGACTGAAGATGCTGATCTATTGTAAAGCAGCGTTTTATATGAGCCTGAAAGGTTTTGGTGAGAAGAATGACATCAATTCTTGCTTTTGCCATCATTTATTAAAAATTATCTTTTAAAAGTGATCTGAACACAACAAAGTTCATCTGATACATTTATTTACTGATGACATCATCCAGGGCAGGCCCAAGCCTTTGTGGGGCCCAAGCAGGGTTTCTATTGGGGCCCCCCATACCAACAAGTCAACACCATTCCTAGGCTACATCATTTGTGTAACATGACCACCATCGTTAGCATCTTTTGTAATTAGCTCACACATCATTAAGTTATTATTGTGGATGTTGATTTTAGCTTTACTGGAGCAAAACAAAAATAAGCTCATTTTTAGTTTAAGTGTGGTATATTAATTCAACAGTTTGAAAGAAACATCAGCAGACAAACACTGAATTTACAGTAAAAAAAAGTTAGGATTACTATTTTTTGTTCTTAAAATGTGAAATGTGTAAAATATACTGCACTTCAAAATAAAACCAATTGGCACTACAGAAAGTAATATAGAAAAATGTTTTTTTAATGTGAAATATTAGTTTTTATTAGTTAGTTATTAAAACATTTTTTCTCATGTCATCTTGGTGCTCTTGAGGGCCCCCTGGTGGTGTGGGGGGGCCAAAGCAGTCACTTAAGTCTTATACGCCTTGGGCTGCCTCTGACATCATCACACAATTAGCAAATTAAAGAAGCCTCCAGGAGTCCTGTGTTCTCACTCATCTGATGACTGTTGTGTGTTTGTTGGTCTGAAGGATCTTCAGGGACTGTCTGGGACAACAGTGAGACAGAGTGTCCTCTGGACCACAACACCATCGGTCCTGTCCAACATGGTCCAGAGCATGGCTGTGATGAGGTCATGGTGTCATAACAACAATAACATGTCACCATGACGACTATTACAGTATCTTTGTGCCAACATAGCAACAGTTGCTAAGGTCTGTCAGCATCATCACATTAGTGAACATGTTGTCAGAGTTGATCTTCACAAACACGTAACGTACCAAAAGGCTCAATTTTTCACCATCTACAATGACCAACTAGGGTTGTCACGGTGTGAAGATTTAACCTCACGGTTATTGTGACCAAAATTATCACGGTTTTCGGTATTATCGCGGTATTTTTTTTAACGTGTTACATTTTCAGACAACTACATAAACCCTGTATAACAGGAAATTATTGTCCTCAGTTTGTGTCTGAATTTTGCCAAAAATTTGTTATTTTGTAATTCAAAGATTCAAAGTCATTTATTGTCATATTCTCCACATGTGCAGGACATACAGAGAAATGAAATTCAGTTTCAGCACACACAATTCAAAGATCAGACATATGTGGGTAAGACATAACAAGAATTGGTGACTGCGGTCATTCGCAACATGAGTCGCGCTACCTTAATAGTTAGATGAAAAGGGTGTTACATGAGTGAAGTTCAGGGAGGGAGAAAAAAAAGGCATTAACAGGGTTACACCAGCAGGGTGTAGCACTCCAATGCAAAAAAAACACCTGACATGGAAGCACAGACAGCACGTATACAACATCAGAGTCCGATGGGGAGGTGGGGGTGGGCGGGATCCTGAAGCCTCCAATGGGAGCTGCCACTGCGGCGCATCGACCAGCTGCAGACCAACAGGTGGGAGGGAGGTCATGAGGAAGCATAGAGAGCAGTGAGTCCTTCAGCTTGATGACCTCGGTGGAGACCACAATCTGAAGGCGGGGGGGGGGGGGTGGGTGGATAGAGATTCACAGCATTTGTCAGCATTCCTTCCAGCGTGGGGGTTTTGCATGCAACTCCAAGGCTGCTGTAATTATGTTGTTTATTTGTTTACATTTTCCCATTTAGTCTTTAAAACACCAATATTTGACCATAGCTTCTTATTTTTTGCCAGTTTGATGTCTTCATTTTAAATATATTAAATCAGATGATACTCAGCACTCAAGTAGCCTTCTAATCAGATACTTTTTTTTACCCTTACTCGAGTAATAAACCCTATATCAGGAAAATATTGTCCTAAGTTTGTGTCCTTCCAGTGAGCTTTGCAGATTTGGGAAAATGTCATCAGACAGTAATCATTGTTAAATTCATAATTATTCTCGGAGAGAGACCAACTCTTGTCTGCCCCTGGGAGCCCCGTAATGCATAGCGTCATTTCAACATGGGGGTGTCCGCGACACGGTTTATATGCAGGTAGCGGCGCTGCGGCTGCTTTTTATAGCGACTCGTTGCGTTCTCCCTCAACCCAAATTCTCGGATCACGCATTTTAGCTAAAACGCTAACGTTAGCTTGCCTTGCGTTGACTGTAGAGTTGTGGGTGATGGTCACGCAGATGTGTCATGAGATTTGAAGCGTTGCTGCCTTTCACAGACACTTTTTCTGCACGTGCTGCAAACAGGATAGCCGTCTTCTATCAACTGTCCCTCGACATTCTTCAAATATTCAAAAAATGCCCATACTTTCCACTTTGTCTACTTTGAGGGTTAATAAATGTCCTGAGCACTTCAGCTTTAGCTTCAAGAAAGTTTGGGCTGTAAACAACAAAGTGCACGTGTGCCGCCGGCAACTTCAGCAGATGATACGGTGGCTGGTAAGGGTCACCGCGCCTACACCGCAGCCACGATAAACCCACCAAGATAATATAGTTTTTTTAAAAACAAGACGGTTATTGTCAACTTTTTTACCGGGGTTTACCACTACACCGGTTACCGTGACAACCCTATGACCAACATAGTGACCTTTCATCTACAACATAAATCCACTTACTATTTGGACTTCCAGAACCAGAAGGTTCTGTTCAGTGCATGTTTACATACAGAAGACAAAACATCCAGACAAACGTTCTCTCCCAAGGTTCCTGCACTCTCTGTGAAAGCCAGACATCAACATTCTTCACTCTGAATAAGTGAAGACTCCCTGATTTTATAGTTATAAGTTAAAGAATCATATGTGATTAATGAACAAGATGTTTAAATGAAATGTTTGAATAGCCTGTGCTTAAATCAATGAATTTGAAATGAATATTGTTCTTACAATGATCCATTTATATCACAAATCACCATGTGTTTGATTTAACAAGTTAATCATTGTTTACACTCATACACCTCACACAAGAGTTTTAATGCATTCTCATTCACAGTGTTAAAAACATCTTTGTATCTGAGGAGGGCGTGGCTTTCTGAGGGATGTTGGTAAATACTCAGAAACTTGTCAAATTCTGATTGGCCAAACTTGGCCAGAAATCATAACAAAGTAGTTTAATAAAACAAGAATTATTTCCCGAGTAATTCAGTTTCTCACTGACCCTCGAACCGGACAAATCGGGAAAGAAGCATCTCTTTTGAAACAATCACCTTTGACCTTAAGTCAAAACCTTTCTGTGATGCTGCAAGTGATTACAGACACAACAGCTCTTTTCAGAGCTACTTCAACTCTCAGACATCCACCTTGGACACCTATCCTGCAGTCTCTGTCTGAATTACTACGAAGTGTGTTTATGGTCCATGAATATTTAACGAACCCTAGAATCTTCTGATTAAATGTTCAAAGATCAGATTGATGTTTCATATTTGTATGGACTATGACATCTTATTGGTCATAATTAACGTTTTAATTGCTACAAACATCTAACATAATCTACGATAGAAGAAATCAGGCTCTGATGTTCAGAGTGACCCACTTACAGAGAAACACACATCTGTGTCTCTGGAATGAGCTGCTGCTCATTATTCGACCATCACCATCGCTGCAGGTTTTTAAGAGAAGACTCGTTTTTATCGTCTGGTTTTCTGTGATGGGTTTTTATCTTAATTGCTTGTGTTATGACCTTTTTATCTATTTGTTTTAATGTTGTTTATATACTCCTTATTGCTCTTTTGTGGTTTTATTCTGTCGTGTTCAGCGCCTTGGGCCCCCGCAAGGTTGGTGGAAGGCGCAATATAAATAAAATTTGATTGATTTGACATTTGATGGGTTCTGATCTGAACAGGGAGAGACTGAAGATCAAGAATCAACAAGAAATGACGTGAAAGCTGCAACCTGATGAAGAAATCATCTGACCGACTACAAATCATTCTGGGACAGAAGAACAGAACACACTCATAACACCTGAATGATGGAGGACACTCTAACAGGTCTGCAGAGAACCTTTAATATTTATATGATTCAAAAATAAAACCATCATAACAACCCTAGACAGATGAAGACACGAGACATTCTATATAAAAGACGATCATGTCTCCTGTCAAGTGTTGATGATCCAACAGCGGATTGAACCAGAACCACTCTGAACTCTGTCATTTACCATCTAAACACACATTGTCCATGATTCTTCCTCAGTAGCTTGTTTTCACACTACTGGCTCTGTCAGGTCTGTCTTTTTCAGGATTCATTTTTAGTCTAAAAATTTCCCTTTTTTTGTATTTTTATTATGGCCTTTGTTCATCTTTTTTATTTTGTCGTTCTTATAAAGCACCTTGTGAGCTTATCTTGAGAGACACTATATACAAATATTTTTTTCTTCTGCCTAGTGGTATGCAAGCACATTACAGCGGTACTTGGAAACAGTTCATATTTCATTTCCCAGATGATGGCGTTCAGTGTCTGTGATTAATCGTCCACCAGCAGTGATTAGTTGTGTCATCAGAAAAAAAGGGAATGTGGTTAATTTTCATGCTGAGCTGTTTCTTGGAGTGCTATGACTCAATCATGGCAAAGTTTGAGTTAAAAAAGATAACCGGTTTATTACAATCTAGTCCATGTTAATACAAGCATCGGTACACCGGTGGAGAACCATGCAGCCCAAAAGTGGTTCTGTCTTTCCAGCATCTGTCCACTGCTTATAACTCTGCAACAGCATCTCTAAAAACTCTGGTACAGGCACATTCCTAAGCCTGCTTAGAATAGCAAAATGCTATTGTAGGAGAAGAGTCTCCACAGAGCCGCCTTGTAATTTATGACTTCTTGACAACAGTCCCAGCTGTCTCTCCACAGCCTTTAAGGTGGAATTTCTTCTTAGGGGCACCAAATGAATAAAGAGACATTATTTTTCAGCTGCAGTTATTACAACATTGTATGCTATTACTTTATGTACAGATAAACTGTTTAAAGCAGACGCCACCGGTATCTAACAGCTTTAAATTGCAGTGGGTTATGTACTACAACCATCATGTGCCTGTTATCTAGTCTGTTTCTTAAATACAGGAGGGTATAAAGTTTTTTTCTTAATCGTCGTCGTCTTCCTCCGCTTATCCGGGTCCGGGTCGCTGGGGCAGCATCCCAACTAGGGAGCTCCAGACCGTCCGCTCCCCGGCCTTCTCCACCAGCTCCTCCGGCAGGCCCCAAGGCGTTCCTGGACCAGATTGGAGATGTAACCTCTCCAACGTGTCCTGGGTCAACCCGGGGGCCTCCTGCCGGCAGGACATGCCCGAAACACCTCCCCAGGGAGGCGTCCAGGAGGCATCCTGACCAGATGCCCAAAACACCTCAAGTGACTCCTTTCGATCCGGAGGAGCAGCGGTTCTACTCCGAGTCCCTCCCGAATGTCCGAGCTCCTCACCCTATCTCTAAGTCTGAGCACGGGCACCCTACGGAGGAAACTCATTTTGGCCGCTTGTATCTGCGATCTCGTTCTTTCGGTCACAACCCAAAGCTCTTGACCATAGGTGAGGATTGGCACGTAGATCGACCGGTAAATTGAGAGCCTGGCTTTCTGGCTCAGCTCCCTCTTCACCACGACAGATCGGCTCAGCGTTCGCATCACTGCAGACACTGAACCAATCCGCCTGTCAATCTCCCGATCCCTCCTACCCTCACTCGTGAACAAGACCCCGAGATACTTAAACTCCTCCACTTGAGGTAGGACTTCTCCCCTGACCAGTAGTTGGCAAGCCACCCTTTTCTGGTCGAGCACCATGGTCTAAGATTTGGAGGTGCTGATCCTCATCCCAGCCGCTTCACACTCGGCCGCGAACCTATCCAGCAAGAGTTGAAGGTCAGAGCTGGATGAAGCTAGGAGGACCACATCATACGCAAAAAGCAGAGACGAGATTCTCCTGCCACCAAACTCGACACACTCCACACCACGGCTGCGCCTAGAAATTCTGTCCATAAAGGTAATGAACAGAACCGGTGACAAAGGGCAGCCCTGGCTGAGTCCAACCCTCACCGGGAAAAGGTCCGACTTATGCGGACCAAACTCACGCTCCTCTGGTAAAGGGACTGAATGGCCCTTAACAGAAAGCCACCCACCCCATACTCCTGGAGCGTCCCCCACAGGATGCCCCTGGGGACACAGTCATAAGCCTTCTCCAAATCCACAAAACACATGTGGATTGGTTGGGCAAACTCCCATGCCCCCTACATCACCCTTGCAAGGGTATAGAGCTGGTCCACAGTTCCACGGCCAGGACAAAAACCACATTGCTCCTCCTCAATCTGAGATTCAACTATCGATCGGATCCTCCTCTCCAGTACCTTGGAGCAGACCTTTCCAGGGAGGCTGAGGAGTGTGATCCCCATAGTTGGAACACACCCTCAGGTCAACCTTCTGAAAGATGGGAACCACCACCCCGGTCTGCCACTCCACAGGAACTGCCCCCGATGATCACGCAATGTTGCAGAGACGTGTCAACCACGACAGCCCTACAACATCCATAGCCTTGAGATACCCAGGACGAATCTCATCCGACCCCGGGGCTCCGCCGCTGTGTAGTTGTTTGACTATCTCAGCAACTTCTGCCCCCGAGATTGGACAGTCCATCCCCAGGTCTCCCAGCTCTGGTTCCTCCTCGGAATGTGCGTAGGTGGGATTGAGGAGCTCCTCAAATTATTCCTTCCACCGTCCGACTATAGCCCCAGTTGACGTCTGCAGCTCCCCATCCCCACTGTAAACAGTGTGAGCGAGTTGCTGCCTTCCTCTCCTGAGGGGCCGGACAGTTTGCCAGAACCTCTTTGGAGCCGATCGATAGTCTTTCTCCATGGCCTCACCAAACTTCTCCCACGCCCGAGATTTTGCCTCGGCAGCTGCCACTGCTGCACCCCGCTTGGCTATCCGGTACTTGTCTGTTGCCTCCGGAGACCCACAGACCAGCCACACCCTGTAGGCCTCCTTCTTCAGCTTGACGGCTCCCCGAACCTCTGGTGTCCACCAGCGGGTATGGGGGTTGCCACCACGGCTGGCACCGGCCACCTTGTGACCACAGCTACCCACAGCCGCCTCAACAATCGCAGAGTGGAACAAGGCCCACTCGGAGTCAATGTCCCCCACTGCTCTCGGGACGAGGTCAAAGCTCTGCCGGAGGTGGGAGTTGAAGACCGTCTAGACAGCTTCTTCTGCCAGGCGTTCCCAGCAGACCCTCACTATGCGTTTGGGTCTGCCAGGTCTACGCGGCATCTTCCCCTTCCATCTGATCCAACTCACCACCATGTAGCGAGATGAATGTTCTCTGATTTGTGCCAAAGGTCACATTTGCCCAGCTGGGTCAAGCTGGGTCAAACAGTACTTTGAATCCACAGATTAAAACCCAAGGAGCCAAGATGTCCGCTCAAGATCATAACACCAGTATCTGCTGTTCCGTCCCAAGAAGGACACTTCAAGCCACGATTATAATAATTAAATAATAATTAATAACTTATGATTTTAATACTGTTTAAATAATCATTAATACATGATCACTTGGTTCAGATATAATTGTATTTTAATTACATGAAATGGATTATTATGCTTTGGGTATTATAATGATAATTATTATAATGATTAAAGATGTGTTCAGCAAAGAAGACCTTCACCCGGTTTATCCAACACAGAGTTCAGATAAACAATAACTGCATCACATGTTTTTTGACGCATGACCAAGCTTTCTTCCGGAGGGGGAGTGTTCTGAGAGAGTTTGGTAAAAACTAACCCTCACAGATTTCAGTACCAGTTCTTCAACAAACACCACGAGGAAAGGAGAACGGCCGTCTCCTTGAACCTCCACCTGCTGTTCTAGTCATGCCGACAAGAATGGCTAAAGGACAAACGAAACTAACGAGCGAAACGAAAGACTCTCCCAGAGTCCTTGATTTCTGAAGTTAAGTTAAAAGACGAAACGTGCATCTGCCAAACGCTTCGTACAGCCGTGTACCCAGGACATCTCTGGACCGGACCATCAGCACGTGCGTCTACCCTACCAGCTGAAGTGCCACCTTGGATGAAACCATCCTCCTGATGTCCGGATCCGCAAAGGGGGCCCTGTTTCGGGTGAGGTAGAACACGATAGAATGCGTTTGATTCTGTTTTCTCTCAAAATAACTCAGTTATCCGCAAAACATCATTTCATCCAGAACACCTTCCATTCCCTCGGAAAGAAACCTTCTGAGAACTTCATTCACGCATTCAAAACTCATCATTCTCAATTTTAGCTCCAGCCAACACAGGTTTGCATTTAACCAAGTCATTAAAATTGCCATCCATGAATTATCATTTTTATAATTGTCGCTTCAAATTTTCAGTTTAAAAATTGTTAGTAATAAATGTCTTCATTTTTAAACTTGCCTCATTATTGAAACGAAACACAGAAAAGGGTTGCATTTCCAGTTTATCGAATGAAAAGAATCTTACTGAATCTTCTGTTTTATAAATAAACTTTTGCTATTAATTTAAGTATCTTAAGTTAATTTTCACACCACCACAACCAGGTGGTGATCAGTTGACAGCTCCGCTCCTCTCTTCACTCGGGTGTCCAAAACATACGGCCGCAGGTCAGATGATACGACTACAAAGTCTATCATCGACCTGCGACCTAGGCTGCCCTGTTACCAAGTGTACCGATGGGCATCCTTATGCTCGAACATGGTGTTCGTTATGGCCAAACTGCGGCTTGCACAGAAGTCCAATGAGGAAACACCACTCGAGTTCAGATCAGGCAGGCCGTTCCTCCCAATCACACCCCTCCAGGTCAAGCTGTCATTGCCCACGTGAGCATTGAAGTCCCCCAGCAGGACAATGGAGTCCCCTGATGGAACACTATCTAGCACTCGTCCCAGGGACCCCAGAAAAGGTGGGTACTCTGAACTGATATTTGGCCCATAAGCACAAACAACAGTCAGGACCCATTCCCGACCCGAAGGCGCAGGGAAGCTACCCTCTCGTCCTCCGGGGTAAACCCCAACACACAGGCAGAGAGTCTTGGGGCTAACAAAAAGCCAACCCCAGCCCTCTGCCTCTCACCTGGAGCAACTCCAGCAAAGGAGAGTGTCCAACCCCTCTTTGGGTTCCAGAGCCAATGCTATGTGTCGAGGGGAGTCCGACTATATCTAGCCAGTACCGCTCAACCTCTGGCACAAGCTCCTGCTCCTTCCCCGCCAGCGAGGTGACGTTCCATGTCCCAAAAACCAATTTCCTTGTCCGGGGATCGGACCGCCAAGACTCCTGTCTTGTTCTGCCACCCGATCCACACTGCACCGGCCCCTTCATGTTCCTCCTGCGGGTGGTGGGTCCACAGTTGGATGAGCCTATGTATCCGGTTCGGGCTGTGCCCGGGCGGGCCCCATGGGCGAAAGCCCGGCCACCAGGCGCTCGCTCACGGGCCCCAATCCCAGACCTGGCTCCAGGGTGGGACCCCGGTAACCCTCCGGGCCGGGTACTCTGACTCTTTGAGCTTACATCCATGAAAGGATCTCTTTAAGTAATATTTTTTTGTATTCAGAATTCACAAATGAACATCTCAAATGTTTGGTTAAGGTCTGAGTTTAAAAAACAAAGGAGATTTGAAAAAGAAAATCAAAAGAAGAGGTGGCTCAAGGGCCGAGTACGGACTTGATCAATGATAGTTGAGCAGAGGTACAAGACTAACATTAAGGTTGTAAAAAAAACTAAATAGTACATTTGGAAGTACTGTTGTTAAATATATCCCTCGAGCCTCGTGTGGATGCTCGTATGTCTCTTTAAATTTGTCTTTCGGCTAAATCTTTGTCCACACAGCTCACAGGCAAAGGCTTCTCTCCTGTGTGGACTCTCATGTGTGTGTTTAAACTTGCCTTTTTGGTACATCTGTATCCACAGAGCTCACAGGCAAAAGGCTTCTCTCCTGTGTGGACTCTCATGTGATCGTTTAAATGTGACTTTAGGGTACATCTGTATCCACAAAGCTCACAGGCAAAAGGCTTCTCTCCTGTGTGGACTTTCATGTGATAGTTTAAACTTGCCTTTTGGGCACATCTGTATGCACAGAGCCCACAGGCAAAAGGCTTATCTCCTGTGTGGACTCTCATGTGGTTGTTTAAATGTGACTTTTGGGAACATCTGTATTCACAGAGCTCACAGGCAAAAGGCTTCTCTCCTGTGTGGACTCTCATGTGTGTGTTTAAACTATTTTTATGGCTAAATCTTTTCTCACACAGCTCACAGGCAAAAGGCTTCTCTCGTGTGTGGACTCTCAAGTGTCTGTTTAAACTATTTTTAAGGCTAAATCTTTTATCACAGAGCTCACAGGCAAAAGGCTTCTCTCCTGTGTGGACTCTCATGTGGATGTTTAAACTTGCCTTTTCGGTACATCTGTATCCACAGAGCTCACAGGCAAAAGGCTTCTCTCCTGTGTGGACTCTCATGTGTGTGTTTAAATTACGTTTACGGCTTAATCTTTGTCCACAGAGCTCACAGGCAAAAGGCTTCTCCCCGGTGTGGCCTTTCATATGACGGGTTAATTTGGACTTTTGTCTAAATCTTTTCCCACAGTCATCACAACTAAATGATTTTGGTTGTTTCTGGACTTTTCTACATGAGCCTCCATGTTGCTTCTCTTTCACACATTTTGTATTAACCGAACACTCTGAAGACCTTACTGCTGAATGACTTGTCACTCTCACATGATCCTGAAGAGACCACTTGTGGAGGAACCGTATACCACACACAGGGCAGCTAAATGATTTGTTGACTGTCTTTATATCTGACTCCGAAGACTTGTTCTCATTACAGCCATGGTCTCCGTTTCCAATTTCAGGCCCAGAGTCTGAACGCTCAGAGTCTAGATTCACATCATCTTCATCTTCTCTACTAACTTCAATCTCTGAAGAATCGGATGTCTTTTCATTAGGGTCCAGATCTAGGTTCTTGCTAGTTTCTGCTCCTCCACCAACTTTTGCTGTCATCTGCCCAGCCAAGCTGCTGGTTGGGACACCTCTGTCTTTCATTTGATGGTTGTGGAAATGTAAGAGCAGAGGTTTCTCATCCGTCTCCTCTCTCTTCCTTGAAACTGCAGTGAACCAAGCAGAAATATATAAAAGAAAAATATTTAGTAAAAGGACAAGACAAAAGACCTTGGAGGGTTTTACAATCAGTAATATACATAACAAATGTTGTTAAACACATTACTATTTATGGTAATGCATTACTTTAACAAATAACTATGAATCTAATGAGTTGCTTTTAATGGGCTCGACACACAGGAGGCGACATTGCCTCTCCTCCATTCATTTTCAATGAGACATGCGAGACAAAGCGATAATCGCTGGTCTCCCTCCTACCAAGCGAAACGCAAAAAACGTGCGTGTGAAATTTTGCGCACGTGTCATGCACAGGCGACTCAGCGACGCGATCCCAGAAAGTTGAAATATTTTCAACTTTTCATCGCTGTCGCTCAGACGAGGACCAATCAACTGAGGTTTCATTCACTGACCAATGAGCGGACAGGATGCTCCGTACACCTCCGAGCAAACATGGAGGAGAAGTTGATTATTATTATGTTTAATATAGTAAAATCAGAAGTAAGATTTCACATAACTCTAGCAGCACCTTGTGAAACATCATATCTACCACTTTATTAACTCTGAACCGCTTAAATAACCTTAATTCCCTCCAACCTGACACAGCCAAGCAAAACAATAGAAGTTTCGATTTCACCATGGAACAGAAAACGTAGACGGCTTCGCAGCTGGCCACGGGTCGCCTCCCGTGTGTCAGGTAATAAAAGCGACAGCGACAAATTTCGCTGATCGCGGTCGTTTGTCGCCTCCTGTGTGTCGAGCCCATAAGTCCAGACATCACTATGCGATTGGTAGAAGGAAAAAAACGCTATCTGCAAATTGTGATTGACGCCTCTCAGAGCTGGTCAAACCAGCCGTCCGTCGCTGCTACTGTGGAGCCTAGAGAGAAATACAAACACAGAGCATCAACACTCGTCTATAACCCATAAAATAATAATAAGCATCATGCTGCTAGATCAGCAGCTTGTGATGACAGTTAGTTCCGCTCACAAGGTCAGCTGACGTTAATCCACAATATGGGACATATGGCACTAGAATTCCAGATAAAGAGCTAGGAGCAAGGCCATTTAAACATTTGTAGGCCAGAACCAAAATCTTAAATCCAACACAGAACTGAACTGGGATCCAATGCAGAGAGGCAACAACTGGAATGATATGATCAAATCGACCAGTGCCAGTCTAAAAACGGGCTGCAGATTTTGAACTAGCTGCAGAGACTAGCAATACATCCATGATCAAACCCCAAGTAAAGACTATTGCAGTAGTCTAAACAAAATGCATCAAATGCATGAATAAGCTTCTCAAAACGATTCCTCATCAAAAAGACTTATAAAGATTCTTTAGGTGAAAAAAGCATACTTGAACCACATTATTGAATTGAACATCAAATTTAAACTGAGAATCATTCTTAACACCCAAATTAGACACAACATCCTTTTCATCATATGAGGCTGAGTAACTACAGGAGCACCACTTGGTGCAAACATAATCAACTCCGCCTTAGACTCATTAATCTGGAGAAAATTACAACCCATCCACAATCCTTAACCTCACGAAGACAACTCAGAGCTAAATCCTTAGCTTTAACAGAAGCATAGACCTGACAGTCATCAGCATAAAGATGGAAGTCAAGCTCATATCATCTAAAGATGGCCCCAAGAGGGAGCAAATATAAATTGAAAAGCAGAGGACCTACTACAGAGCTCTGTGGGACCCCATATTTCAGGGGAGCATCACTTGAGCTGAAGCTACCAATCTTAACAGTCACATACCTGTCAGCCAGGTAGGAACTCATCCAGAAGAGTGCTGAACCAGAGACCAAAAAAATTCTCCAATCGATTGAGAAGTATAACATGATCAAGAGTATCAAAAGCAGCGGTCAGATTTAAGAGTAATAAAAAGACTGTCACCCCACATCAGTATATTGGTAAATATCATTGAACACTCACAAGTGCAGTTTCAGTACTACGCTTTGTTCTAAAAGCTGTTTGAAAAACTTCTTAAATTTGTTATTATCTAAATGGTCTGACAATAGCTTAAAAACGACTTTCTCAAGAACCTTAGAAAGAAATAGCAGCGTAGAAATAGGTCGATGACTGGATAATACCGAGACATCAAGACCGGGTTTCTTAAGAAGGGGTTTGATTACAGCTCTTTTCAGACTCTTTGGAACTTCCCCACACTGCAGACTAGAGTTGATTACATTATGAACCATATTTGAAATAGCTGGCCAAACATTTTTAACAATAGAGGAAGGAATGATGTCGAGTGCAGAGCTGGATGGTTTCATCCTTCCAACAATTTCATCCAACATATCTGGGATACAGAGTCAAAAGAATTTAAAGTAGTTGAATCAAAACAGATTTCTTCATCAATAAAACTAAATTGCTGGGGAATTCGAGCTTGAATAGTTTCAGTTTTGCCTATAAATTATGTCAGAAACCTCTCAGCAGTAGTCGAAGAGGCTTTAAGTCCACCTGCACACGAAGGATTTCAAATCTCATCCACGGTAGAAAATAGTACTCTTAGGTTATGCTCATTAGAGCTAATAATATCAGATAAAAACGTGGATTTTGCCTTTTTTACAGCCATTTGATAGGAACACCATGCAGACCTCATATCTTCAAATGAGGGCTGTGACCTAGATTTCTTCCACTTCTGCTCACATTTCCTGCATTAGGTGAAGATTCTCTGTCATCCTGGACATGATCATCCTGAGCTTTAATATAAAAACAGCTGGACATTTCTGGTTATCTTGAAGACGTTTTTCTTCTCATCCTAGAGGCTTCTTCACATTGGTTGCGAGTAGAAGGCTGTGAGTTATGGTCAGAAATAAACACACTGACGGTCTTTCTTTAGTTTCTCTTTTGAAAACGTTTTAGTCTAAACAAAGGTGATGTTATTGTTCATAGAATTAAAATTCAAGTCCATGTAGGACCTGTGGTTAGTTGGCTCATTTGAAAAATGTAAGGTTTTTGACCTTGAAAGAATCAGGAATCATTAGGAACTGGAATTGAAACAGGGGAATCGTTCAAATTCAAACGATGCCCAACCCAACTTTTTGTCTGAAGTGATTAACGTAACTGCAGTAAACGTTGACAGATAAAAATAGATTGTGACCGGATTTTTTTAGACCCTGCTGGGGTCACTCAGTGATGCACCCATTGACAACCCAACTCTGGTAATTGGCAGCTCCATAGTCAGAAACGTGGCAGAGACTCCAGCAACCATAGTCAAATGTTTACCTGGGGCCAGAGCGGGCGACATTAAATCCTACCTGAAACTGCTGGCTAAGGATAAGCGTAAATACAGTAAGACTGCTAATTACGCTGGTGGTAACATACCTGCAAACTCGGGGTGTGGAAAAAGGTGACAACTACAATGCCCCCTCCCGTCTGTGGGGTTTGTAGTGACCTGCTCTGGCATTCACACTCATGTTACAGCCCCCTGTATTTGGGCTGATGAGTTTATCTCCCTCTGTTCATCCTGTGAGGTGAACCCCATGATCCAGCTAAACTCCCCCACCAGAGGGAGCCATTATCTGGAACCCTTTGGCCTGCTGCTGCTCCCCACAGGGCAGCTGGTGCACATCAGCTGATTAAGAGGTCTGCACAAACAGTTGAAAAGCCAGACTGAGAGGAGCTGGAGAGAGAAGCGCAGTGAATCGAGAGGTTTTGAAGGTTTTGATTACTTTATTTGTTCTTGTTTGGTTATCCTATTCGGATAAACAGGAGGATTTATGTTATGGAAATGTTATGTTTATTATTAACTGAATGTATTATTCTATGCCTGAAAACACACACACACACACACAAACAGTCTTATCTTTGTTATAAATAAATTCAGAGCAGAAACTCGGGGCAGTTGACTTGAGCCTCTGCCCCTGATTGCAGTTTGGTGACTTGTCTGCTTGTTGTCTCTCCTCTCTCTCCAGCTGCAGGTATTGGGTTATTGATAAAATCCCTAACAGTCATGTAATCATTAGTTTAGAAATATAGAATTAAACTAATTTTTATAAACTATATTCTTGACTCTGTCTGAATTAATATGAAGTGTGTGTTCCTATGGTCGTATTAAATCAAATATTCAAAGACCAATAAGATTGATCATTTATAATTAGATGGAATATCACATCTTATTGATCATTCAGTAAAAGTAACCACTTCCATCACGTTACACCATCAGCATGGCTCTACACTTCATCCTGCAGCTTCTGGACTCCTGGGTACCTACACCAGGATCCTGCCAGAAGCAGAAACAGCTGGAGTTAGCAGGTCAGATCCACGGTGTGTAAAGTCCACTCATGGAGGGAACAGGAAGGGAAACCACTGAAGAACCAGGATAAACAGACCCGAGGAAACATGGACGGAGACACAGCGCTGCCCCGTGGCCAGGCGGGAATGTGGAAACGGACCTGTGGCTATTCCAAACACAGGCGCCATCTTGTTAGCGGCCAGAAGCAGAGTATGGGTGGGATGAGGCTGGCCCATACTCTGGAACAGCAGCTGCTATGTGTGGACTCTCATGTGATTTGTTTATTTACATTTGTAGTAAACCTTTCTCCACACTCATCATGACTAAATGATTTAGGTTTCTTCTGGACTTTCCTGCACGAGTCTACATGTTGCTTCACTCTAACACATTTCTTATGAACCAAACAGCCTGAAGACCTTATTGCTGGATGACTTGTCTCCCTCACGTGTCTCTGGAGAGACCACTTGTGAAGAACTTGTTGACAGACTTACCATCTGACTCAGAAGACCTGCTCTCATTCCAGTCATCATCTTCATCTCCAGTTTCAGACCCAGAGTCTGACAGCTCAGAGTCCAGATTCACACCATCATCATCATCATCATCTTCATCATCTCCACTAACTTCAGTCTCTGAAGAATCAGATGTTTGTTCATGAGGGTTCAGATCTGGGTTCCTGCTAGTTCCTGCTCCTCCACCAGTTTCTGCTGCCATCTGGTCAGCTGAGCTGCTGGTTGGAACATCTCTGTCTTCTATTTGCTGCTGATGAAGCTGTGAGACCAGAGGTTTCTCTTCATCATCCTCACTCTTTATAGAAACAGCAGTAACAGGAAACCCGACAGCTTCAGTCTCCTCCTTCAAACAGAGATGCTCTCCCTCCAGACTGGTCCAGAGCTCCTCCTGTTCCTCCTTTATGTGGAGGTGTTCTGGGTCCTGCTGGTCCACACCAGCACTCTGTTCTTCAGGAGCTTCTTCTTTAACCAGCACCAGCTGTGGAACATCTGTAGGAAACACAGACACATGATGTTACAGACCACCATACCTTTATATTTACACCATGAGTGATACTGGCTACATGATGTGGGAAAAAGGAACAAGAACATGAACTTCATTTAGATAAAAACAGATTTCTACTTTAGGAACAATAAAAACTTCCATCACAATCAGCGTGTTTGTTTCTGACCAGAACTTCTAAGCCTCCTACTCACAACCCAAGCTTTAGATACATATACATACAGTCAACAAAAACATAAACGCAACACCTTTGTTTCTGCTCCGATTTTTCATGAGATGGACTTAAAGATCTAAAATTCATTCCAGATACACAATATTACCATTTCTCTCAAACATTGTTCACAAATCAGTCTAAATGTGTGATAGTGAGCACTTCTGCTTTGCTGAGATAGTCCATCCCACCTCACAGGTGTGCCACATCAAGAGAAGTACAAGTACACGTCACGTGATCAGGAAGCAGAAAATCTATGTGTTAGGAGATCGTCTTGGGTCGCTGCTGTAAAAAAAAGTGAGGCGAGAACCGGAAAAGCTTCTACGGATCGCAATTCCAGCACGGATATGAAAGAACGAATAACGCTTGAAACGCGCGGATTCTTCCTGATCTAAGAGGCGAGTCTCCGCTTTGTTTTGGTAGTTTTGGCGTTGACATCATCATAGAGCAACATTCTGTGACTTAAAAAAAACTGTAAAAACACTGAAAAACGCTGGCAGTGAATGAGTTAAACGTCATCGTCGTCGTCTTCCTCCGCTTATCCGGGTCTGGGTCACGGGGGCATAGGGATGGGTACCTTTGACATTTGAATCGATCCGGTACTAATTCCCGGTACCTACGTATTTGATACCGGTACTTAACGGTACCAATTTTCGATACTTTTGAGTGTTAAATATTTTAATTCTCTTTTATAATTAAATATATATTTTTCTCAATATATAACCATATTTGATAAATATCACGATAAATAACATACAACTGTTTGTATTTTAGCATCATCCTTGTAGTTTTATAAGCTGCTAAGTAAACTGAAGTAAACATCTTTACTGTGAACTAAATTTACTGTGCATCTTCATTCCTTTTGCTGTCTTTTTTCATTCTATTTTTCCTACTGGGAAGTTAGAATTTCCGAGGAGTAAGCGAACGCACCATTAGCTGATAACAATGGTAGCAATGGAAGCTAACAAACCAAGCTAACGTTATCTTAAACAGTTTATTTAACTGCTGGAGCAGATTTAAACGATGATGCCTCACACTTAGATCGTTGTCACTGGTTTCGTCTTCACCCGTCACATTTAGTAAAGTGAAGCCAAACTTTAGATCGCGTTCATGTTCTTCTAGTCGGGAATTCGGAGTTCCGAGGAGAAAGCGAACGCACCATTAGCGAAACGGAAGCTAACATATCAAGCTAATTATATGTACCTACTGGAGCAGATTAAGATGAGGGTGTCTCAGATCACCCAGTTACCCATCACATTTAGTAAAGTGGATCCAAGCTTTAGCATTCGTTCTTTCTACCGTGCTGCTCTGTTTAAAACTCGCTCGCAGCGAGCGACGACAAAACGCTCTTGCGCATGCGCAGCTGTCTTGGCAAGTTCTCGTTATGAAGGACGGGTACCGAAACGAGGCACCGTTTGAAATGACGTGAATCGGTGCTCGTCGGTACAATGGAATTCGGTCGGTACCTTAAAAAGTACCGAATTCGGTACCCATCCCTACGGGGGCAGCATCCCAACTAGGGAGCTCCAGACCGTCCTCTCCCCGGCCACCTCCACCAGCTCCTCCGGCAGCACCCCAAGGCGTTCCAGGACCAGATTGGAGATGTAACCTCTCCAACGTGTCCTGGGTCGACCCGGGGGCCTGCTGCCGACAGGACATGCCCGAAACACCTCCCCGGGGAGGCGCCCAGGAGGCATCCTGACCAAATACCCAAACCACCTCAACTGACTCCTTTCGATCCGGAGGAGCAGCGGTTCTACTCCGAGTCCCTCCCGAATGTCCGAGCTCCTCACCCTATCTCTAAGGATGAGCCCGGCCACCCTACGGAGGAAACTCATTTTGGCCGCTTGTATCCGCGATCTCGTTCTTTCGGTCATTACCCAAAGCTCATGACCATAGGTGAGGATTGGGACGTAGATCGACCGGTAAATAGAGAGCCTGGCTTTCTGGCTCAGTTCCCTCTTCACCACGACAGATCGGCTCAGCGTCCGCATCACTGCAGATGCTGAACCAATCCACCAGTCGAATGAGTTAAACCAAAAGAAAATTCTAATTTGTGGCGCGCATCCATAAAATAATCCATGTTTAGACTTCTTCTATGTTCGCAAATCAGTCAGTGAATCATACCGTAATCAGTCACATGCACAAACCACGGCCCATCATCATTTATTGGACTAATGGTGGGCGAATGGAAAAACAGCCCAACCCTAGTGTGTGCTACCGGAGCTGCAATACTTACTCTGAACTGTGTGGCGCTAAAGAGTCAAATGTTTTTACACACTGGGCCTTTAAGCTCTAAACCACAGCGACATGTTGAAGCAACAGCAGTCATACGTGCTGTCAGCGCCGCTGCCGTCGTGTCTGCAGCATGCTGTCTCCCCAACTGTGATTGGTCAAATGATGATGCGTGACTGACGCTACAACAAAGGTAGGTTGTGAACAAGATGAAAACCTCTCCCGTCTCTGACTGATTCTCGTAGTGACTGAAACCCGACAGAAGACCAAATAGTTCCCACAGCTTAATCTCACCGCTCCCCATGGGGACGGGTCAAATGCAGGACGTAACTTCACCAGAGTGTGACGATGACTTTGGGACTTTTAACTCCCCTCAAAAGAAAAAATTCTTTGGATCAAAACGAGTCACATGACCACTATACTTGGATTCAAAAATCATTCATTGGAGAGATCTATTCACTCTAAAACTTCAAGGTTCTACAACTGTCTGTGAATGAGTGAATGACTGTGATGTAAAACGCTTTGGGGGGTTTAGAACCCCAGTAGTGCTAAACATATACAGATCATTATTTTAAAGATTGAACCTCATTCTCATACTTTCACTGTAATGTCCCACCATAATGTAACCCAGTAGATAAAACGCCTTAATTTTAGTTTATTTGTTGTATCAGCTTACTTCCATGCTTTCATTTTGGAAAATATTTTTAGTTTGAAAAGACGGAAGTGTAATTCCTTAGTTCGTTCCTGATTCCGGTTGGCGCTCCCGTCGAGTTAAACTTGCCCTCTCATTTGTTGAGAGTGGCGTTAGTCCCGCCTTCCTACAAGGTGAGTGACTCAGGCGCCGTTTTTTGCTCTTTGGAGAGCTGGAGGAAGATTGCAGAGGAGCCGCTCTGAACCATATTTCAGGGGATTGAGTCGAGCCGTATATACCTTTTATTGGGTGAGTCGCTATACAGAACAGAAGTTTAAGAGTATTTGAGTTTTCTAGACGGCTAATTTAGGTTATGTGTTATAGTGGGTTGCGTGGAGCCCACGCTAGAGAGACCAGGTGGCTGTGCTGGCACTTCAAGCACGCTAATACCTCATCTTGGTGAGTTAACGCCATGTGCTCGCTAAGCTCTGCTAGCAACCTGCTAAGTAAAGCTAATTGACTTTGGCCAGCCACATGAGTTCACTTTAATGGATGTTAATGGTAATTCTGCTAAAAGAAGGAAACAAATAATTATTTTTGTTTTATATTTCCAAATGAATGTGAATATTGTGGATCATAAACATCAATTTTGTTGATTATCATATTGTTTATTGTGTAATTTTTGTATTACTCTATGGTTACATGCTAATCATAATACTTGTTAAAAAAACTGGTTAAAAACTGGAAAAAAAAGATTCAAACTATTAGTGACGCGAGTTAAAAACTGTTTCATGTATTGCCAAAATGTATTTTGAGAAAAGAAATGTACATGCATGTAAATGGTTACTATGGTAATTTGAAGGATGAAGAAAGAAAAGATTGTAAAAGCTATAGCTGTGAGAATAAGAGAAGAGAATTTTATTTAGCTGTAAACAATAATTGCATTATTGTTGTGCAGGCTAGGTTTTTATGCTCGGTACGGGACTGAAGTGGATTGGAGTCCTGGATTCTCTCCGGATGGAGATGGCGAGCCTGTGCCCGAACTGAACTGAATCCCGATCAGGAGAACATCATTCTTCTATACTGAGCCAACATTCCAGTGGTAACCACTCAGACCACTGAACCTGAGTTTTACAAGACCGAGGAGACTTTCTTTTTGACTCGACTACGACCAAATAGAAGACTGACTTTGAGCTCAACCTGACTAGGTTTACTGATATAGGGGGAAAGGCCTAATTGTTTAATTATATGTCTATTGCAGCTGCTGTATTTTTTGTTCTATTTTCATATATCTATATAAAATTACAAATCTGGTGCAACTGTGTTCTTTTGCTCATTCTTTGGATCCAGCTATTCCATTTCCCATTCACTGGTAATTTGTAAGGTAATCCTGTTGGACCTAGAGTCTGGCCTATTTATTATTATTTTTTGAATAAGTGGTAACTTAATCTGACGCCAGGGTTACAATAGACTGACAATATATTCATTCATCCACCAGTACCTGTGTCCATGCTGTCCAGGTCCAGGTGGTGAAGAACACACGATGAATCAGTCCCAGCTGATGGATGATCCTGAAGTGGTAGCAGGTTTTCTTTAGCCGTGTTTAGCTAACAGCTGCAATAGAAACAAAGCAGGAGAGCTGATTAAGATGCTGCTTCAGAACAACGCAGGAGATTAAAGATCCAACGCTTTGGTTCTGGCCAAAGGAACAGCAGCAGATCCAGAGGGCAGGAAGTCTAGAGAAAAGCTTTTCTCACCCACAACCTGATTCTGGAGCTCCGATTGTCACGAAGACCGCAGAATATCTTCTCTGGTTCTGGAAAGAACTCCACCAAGTTGTTGAGGAGGAGAAGAAAGTTTCCACAGCCTGGTGAGAAGATTTCTGCAGCAGCAGCAGTTAGTCGCTTTAGCTGATCAACTCTCCCAGAGACTGAAGTGAAGACATTTTTACTGCAGAGCCTCAAATATTCTCCTCACACACCAGAACAACAAGCTAGCTCTGTTAGCAGCTTCTGGTTTCTGCTTCTTCCGGTGGTCGGTGACCAGCGTAAAGATGCACTAGCGCCACCTGCTGGAGCAGAATAAAACACACCTGGCTCTCACACATAACGCTGGTGGTTTTTCAGACAAAATATTTGTCGTAATGTTTTTTTAACGGTTTCGTCAAAAGCCCCGAAAAAACACGTACACTACATTTTGTTATACTTCTGACCCATAACCTAATTGTTTTAGTGAAGGTATTTAGTACAGATTGCTGCGCTCAAAAGGAACAGGAAATGCATCTAGACTATTTGGTCATGATAAAATTCATTTCAGTTTATTTATAAAGCGCCAAATCACGACAAGAGTCGTCTCAAGGCACTTCATACAGTAAGCATTCCAATACAGGTCAGTTCATTAAGCCAATCAGAAAAAAAATCCTATATAAGGAACCCAGCATGTTGCATCAAGTCACTGACTAGTGTCAGAGTCTTTACAGCAATCCTCATACTAAGCAAGCATTTAGCAACAGTGGAGAGGAAAACTCCCTTTGAACAGGAATAAACCTCCAGAGGATCCTGGCTCAGTATAAGCAGCCATCTGTGGAGCAAGGATTGGGACAATATTCAATGTAACTTGTACCAAGTTTTGTAACTTGGAACATGTTTCATGACATGCAACTTTGGATTCATAACTTGTAACTTTAGTTTTCTAACTTGTAATTCTCAGTTTGTACATGTATTTCTTGTTTTGTAACAGGAAATTTTCATTTTGTGCATGTATTTTTTGTTTTGTAAAATCAAACTTTTATTTTGTACATTTACTACTCATTTTGTAACATCAAACATTCATTCAGAAACATGAAACTTTCGGTTTTTACCTAGCAGACTTCCAAAATAAAAAAATCAATGTACATGTTTGAAATCAAAACTCTCAAAACACACATTTCATTCTACAGGTACAAACCTCAAATCTACATTGTTGGCGGTGAACGGGCCGGTGAAAACTCTGCTGGTGATCGATTCAGCCCCGGGGGTGTAAACTGCGGGAAATGCAGCAGGAGGGGGAGGAACTGCGGGAAAAAAATCCCTGCTAGCAGGGGGGTGGCCCAACACAGCCTCAGTGACAATAATAATGATGATGGCTGGGCTAGTCTGCGAGAAGAGGAACAATATTCCAAGTGGATCAGGCATTTTGATGAGCCAGTTGGATACTGTGGAGACAGGGATCTGTCAAATTCAGAACACATTGATTTTCTGTCAGTTTTTTTTTTGGATGAGGAATTCTGGACCCTCATCACAACTGAAACTAACCGATATGCTCACCGGTATTTAGAGAGGGAGGAACTGAAATCTAGCTCCACATATGACTGTTAACAAAATTAACCAAAGAAGGGATGAATGGAATGTGTTCATGACACTGAAGCACCAAAAACAGTGTTCTTGATTGATACGCAGTAAACATAACAAAATATCAATAAAGTAATAGATATTATACATATACATACATAGTTACATATGTCTACAAAGGCATATGTTTATATGTATCATAAACAATAACAACACTAAGAAAATACGACAAAAACATTAAAAAAAATCTGCAAATGTGATGCGATCCAATATGGCTGCCATGTGATGACATCATAATATGCTAATTATGTGAGTGAATTTGTTCCTATCACAAAATTTGGCTCATACTGAAGATTTTGCTAAATTACAATATTCCTCTATCTCTAACCAGATTTAAGCTACAAGCTCTTTAAAAAGTGTTATAAAAAATTCATATTTTACTGAAAAAAATTATGGCGCCTAAAGGGTTAAAAATACTCCCCACCGTTTGAAATAGGTTATAAACTTTTTACATTATTGGTTTTAATTGGGATCTTTTGTACAATGCGTTGCTGGTTGCTGTATCAACACGAACATGCATCAGAAATGGAAACACAAATGGAGAGACCAATAATAAAGAAAATGTGATTGTGAAGACAAGTAATTATTTAATATTTTTCAGTTAATAACACTGACTACAACAAACTGCTGAAGCATGAGACAAACAGGATCACGAACGTAAGAAGATATGTTCTGTTTTGTGTACTCAAGTTATAAGAATAGAATTAAGATATTTCAAGAACAGTAGTCGAACACAATAACTTTTAAAAATTAGACATTTTCCATAAAACTGCTCATTTCCACTTGCTTTATAATATTAGCATTTGCAGTTGTTATTAAGGAATGATAAGAAATAAGAATTAACAATAACACAACTATCAATAAATAAATGTCAAAGAGTTACTAAAACAAAAATCTTATGTAACCATTAAAGGTTAAACTGTGTTGTGTGTCCATCTTCATGTTTTCATAGTGGCTGAGTGAAGAGCTGACCAGGAACAACGGTGGTGGCAAATCCCAGTTGGGTCTGTGATGGAGTGATGCACGCCTGGAGTGATTGCCATCTTATCCACAGTAAGCACACACTCTCTTTCCATCTCTGTCAGATTTTTAACCTTCAAACTGAGCATGTCACACACCTCTCCTAACACACCTGGTTCCAGTTAATGGGCTGCATTTGTCTGTGCAGGGTTCTAACATCAGGCAGAGGTATACTCGTGTCCTGAAGAAACCTGCAGCCTGTTGAACCCACTGAAAACGGAGTTGTACGGCCTTATTGATTTTCTATTTCCTCCCTTAGGTTTCCCAGCTGGGTTCCCTGGTTGCAGAGCCTGTTCCTTTCTCCTCCTGGCCCTGACGCCGGCTCCTCATGGCTTCCTGGGATGTCCCTCTCTCCTGATACCATCTCATGTCCCCCTCTCACTTTCCCTCATCTCATTTGCCTCACTGCTTCTGCTGCTTTCCTCATTCTCTGAAATTAGAATGGCACTGTTAGAATAAAGAATCATTTTAAAATAAAATAAATACAAATGTCTAATATTTCAAAAGATTCATCCCACAGTTTACTTGAGTACAACATGTGTGGTCACTGGTCAGTGGATCAACATGCAGTGGTTCTGCTGTACTTCACTGCGGGACCCTTCCTCCTCCTTGGTTCAGGGCGATGAACAAACAGCATCAGCCCTGAGTCTCACCTTGCCTTGCCTAAGCTTAGTAAACTGTCCCTCCTCTACATGTGCCTGTAGAGTAGTGTATTGGTTTATTTCCTGCCACATTTAACAGTTTAAGTGCAGCCTTGTGCAGCTGAGAGCAGAACATGTAGAGCCTTGATAGAAAACATGTGAGAGTGCACGTTAAACTCGCTGCACATAGCTTTTTGTTATTGTGATCTCTGCTCATGGTGAGGTTGCTCCTGCTGACTTGAGCCAACCATTTTCTTCTTCTCTCTGCGTCTTTGGGGAAGCCGTAATTCTGATTCCTCCCTCAGACCGTTTGCTATATGCAGCGCAGCCAACCATGTAAGATAATCAACCTATAAAGGGATTATTATAATATAGTTTTTGTACATATAGAAATATTGAACTGAACCAAAAATGGAGATGTAAAATTACATTTTAAAATTTTATCCAACCCTAAAATTAATAATTTCTAATTTTAACCCACAGACACATTTTACTTTAATAATAATCAAAATAAAGTTATTCAAAAGAGTTTCATTAGGTCTTGAGTACATTGCTCATAATTAATGATTCAGCTTATTTGTGCATATGTAATGACTAAACATAATGTTGGTAAAATGCTTTATTAAAAATGTTATTATACATGTTGTACCAGTTTGGTGTTCATTTTTTCACAATTAACACTTTTTATCTACTGTGTTTGACCATACAGTTTTCTTCAAGGTAAGCTGGAGCAGACGTCTAGCTTTCAGTAAACACTTTAAAATGGATATTACAACTCGAGTTTAGGGCTTCTTGTAGGACTTAAAGTTATTCAATTCAATTCAATTCAATTTAAGTTTATTTATATAGCGCCAAATCACGACAAGAGTCGTCTCAAGGCACTTCACATAATAAACATTCCAATTCAGGTCAGTTCATTAAGCCAATCAGAAATAATGTTTCCTATATAAGGAACCCAGCAAATTGCATCAAGTCACTGACTAGTGTCAGTGACTATACAGCAATCCTCATACTAAGCAAGCATGCAGCGACAGTGGAGAGGAAAACTCCCTTTTAACAGGAAGAAACCTCCAGAGAATCCTGGCTCAGTATAAGCAGCCATCCTCCACGACTCACTGTGGATCGAGAAGACAGAGCAGGCAGAGACACACACACACACACCCACACACACACCCACACACACACACACACACACACACACACACACACACACACACACACACACACACACACACACACAATATGCGTCTAATATAAGCATTTAATATGCTCTAATATAAGCATATTAAATATGCTTATATTAGAGCAGTGTATTGCATTACTACATCAAATTTATTGCTATAGTATATTATAGTAATGTATGTGGTCTAAATGTGTTCTACAGTGTGTTAGGACTGTCGTGTTCCTGTAATGTAGAACAGCCACGGGTGTTTGTCTTCCTACAAATGCTCGGAAAAATATACTTTGTGAAGGAGTTTGGACATAATATATAATATTATTCAATAATTACAACAAATCGCCAGGGGAAATGTGATTATATTAAATTTTTGTGATTTGTCCCACCATCCGCCGTTCAAACTGACTTACGGCACTGTGGGATGTTTGGAACTGAGAGCTCCATGAACCACGTGACCGCGAGTTGGCGAGTTCAAAGAGTGTCGTAACTCTCTCTGGCTGTGTCTCAATTCAGGGTCTGCATCCTTCGAAGGACCCAGCCCACCCGGCCGACGTGGGCTGCGTCCTCCGTCGGCCGGGTAGACCGGATGTTAACGGCTGTGAATTTGGACAGGCCTAGCCTTCATGAACTCCCTCGGCGAATGTTCCGTCGCCTAGCAACCGTGGAACCGCTGGGCAGAAGGGAGAAGGAACTTTAAACGATGGAGCTCGACGTTTTATTTAGCTTTTTAACCCCCAGGGACCCAAATTTAGAAAACAACTGCAAAATCTTTTTTTAACCTTTCA